AAGTGGTGCTCTCGGGTTTCCTTTGGCTGGGGTTTCAAGCTGACAACAAAAACCCACGGCGGCTCGTTCGCCCCTTAGACCTGAACTGCCACAAACTGCGTTTTCCGTGACACCTACCAAAAGGTGATCAAGCCTTAAACCTCAGGGGGGTGGAGGGAGCAACCCCAGTTCCGCTTGGACCCAGTGAAGTCCTGTACACTCCCTCAGACGAGTGGCATGGAAGCTCCCCCAATTGGCCTCTGTAAATAGAACCAAGTCTTCCAAGGGGTTGTGGGAGCTTCCATGGAATCGTCTGGCGGAGGGTAGGTGCCTCTTCCATTGGCCACCGGCCTGGGGCATTTTGTTTGGTGCTCGGAGCTCCGCTAGAGGCCCGGTCCCTAAGCCCCAACGCGAAGCCTGCTGGCATCTGCTTCAACGCAGGCGTGGAGATTTTGTTTTTTCCACCGGTGGGGGCGGGGGGCGGGGGTGTGTTTTTTCTTCTGTACTCACCAGGTCCCAAGCAATCCATGCGAGCAATATTTACGCACATGTATCTGGGTGAAATATAATGACCTCGCACGACCTCACCCCAAATGGTGCTTTATGTGGGGAATAGCCCCCCAACCACCTTATTTCAGGTTGGTGAAATATTATAATTCACTCAGATGTATCCTTTTGTTGGTCAACTGGTGGCATATATTTTCCCTGCATGGACTTGGCGAAAGGGCGGAAGCCTGAAGCTGCTCAGCCCACGGGCAAGTAAGCTCCGGGCCACCCCGAACCACCCCAGACCCAAACTCCAAAATTTGGGGAAAGCGACCCCTGGTGTTCAGCTGGGGAATGAACTGCAAAAGCAATTTCGCTGAGACATTCCATGGGTTAATGCTGTAGATGGACGACATCCATGTCGCAGCACCTACGAAACCCTGGAATGATTCGACTCCCCAAGGTAGATACCAAGAATGTTTCCCATGGTGTCAAGCTGTTTCAAGCTGGATGTCTTCCATCCATAGTGTAACTTGAGTTCCTTCCCTCACCAGGGTCGCCTAACTGGATGTATCCAGGCCAATAGGCTTTAGTTCGGTCCCCGAGTTCGGAGATACCGTGGATGGACGGCATCCATTTCGCACCACCTAAGAAACCCCGGAATGTTGATTCCCCTGTAAATACCAGTAAACAATGGTGTCAACCATGGTTGCTTAGGTGGTGCCTAAGAGGATTTCGTCCATCCAGAGTATGAGCGTGTCACTTTTTGAGTCCTGTTTTGGACACCAACGCAATAGAACACACTTCGGTGTTTGGGGGAGGGATCGGGGTTCCATTCTTTTGAGACCAACCCCCTTCACCTCAAAAAAAGGGGGAACAGGAATGTGGGCAGCTTTTGTTTCTCCAATCATTTGTAGTTTTTTTTTTTTTTTTTAATCACCTTCCGGCCTTTCTAAAGCGCGGCCTGCCTCACTCCTGCAGTCTTGATTCAGATGGACACGGTTGGTTCAGCTTCTGAGATTTGATTGACTCGGCGCGACCTATTGGAGCGATATGTTGTTTTTGACAGGGCTCCCGGTTTATTTTCCCCTAAGCCATCACCCAAGGAAAAACTCACGCAACAAAAAAACACCCTGAGGCAACCAAAAGTGGTTTGTTTCTTTTGCTATCCACAAGTTGCACATCACCGAAGGAAACTCACGGAAACAAAAAAACCACGTGGCAACCGAAAGGTGGCGTGTGTTTCTTTTGCTATTCAAAAGTTGCGGGCTTGCAGAGCCCTGCTTGAGGGTTGCCATAGTCAGCCCGACTTTGGTAAAATGCCGGGGCCAGATTATTTGTCTTGAGGGTGCCCCTTGTCTTGGTGGCTCCCAACCATCCCCTCAGGCTTAGGTGTTTAAAGCTTCATGTGTGTGTGTGTGTGTTTTTGTTCTTGCATGATTTAACCCGCTGTTAAACTTTTAGCAGGGGATCCGAGGACAGCCCAGTTTTGGATTGTTTTCGGAAACCAATAGCAGACCCCCCGATCTTAGGCGAACTTTTGAGGCAAGCAAATGTGGTTGTTGCGTCCCTTGTTCGTAGCCTTCCTACTGTGGATGGACGAAATCCTGCACCACCTAAGAATGATCCGATTCCCTTGCAAATACCAGCAAACGATTTGGTTTCCCGTGGTTTCATACAGCACCCAGACGCTCTGGGGCTTCCAATGGAAGACCCAGACCCTCCATTGGACATATTTCAAGAGAGTTCCGCTTTCCAGGCGAGAACTTCAGTAGCCACCGGGGCCGGTCGCCGCAGAGCCGGCGGTCGCCGAAGAACTTGACCATCCCTTCGGCCCGCGGCCTAGTGGCCTAGCAACAGATTCCTTCCATTTGCTGACTCTTTTCAGAAATGAATAGTTTGCATGTCCCCCGGATGATCGTGTTTTTTTTTGAAAGTGGTGCACGGTTTCCCCTGCTGGCATTTACAGATTCCTTCCCTTTCTTCGGTGCATTTTGCCAAGGGATGTTAGGACTTTTAACATTTTGCCAAGGGTTTTCCGTGAAACCGCGAAAAGTTGAACTGTTAGCAGGGCAGCAGAAAGCAACCGAGATTTGCTGAGTCATTGCAGAAATGAAGAGTTTGCATGTTCCCCTGATGAGTTGTTTTTTTCATCGAACCCAAAAAGAAGACTCTCCAAGAGGAGTGTCCTCTGCAAATTCTGGGTACCACGGGTTTATTTTTAGGGAATCTATCACAGCTGGACGTATTTTTATTGTTTCCAGCGGACTATTTGGCACATTGCAACTGTTTCAACTGTTTAAAAGCCCAAAGGCGGTTTTGGGCCCCATGTCAATCTACGGGAAGGTAAATCAGCTAGAATCTCGAGTTGTCGGAAGGGAGCCACGGGGCTGGGGGTATCCAACTTTCCTTTTGAGGAGGGAGCTAAGGAGCTCGGGAGTTCTGTAAGCACATGGTCTAGGTCCCCCAGTAGTGCCCCTTTTTTGGTTTTTGGGAGGGTTCCCCTACTAAAATAGACTGCCAAAAAAAAGGGCACCCTCATTAGTCATTCTAACCTCTCCACTAGAGGACCTAGTGGTAGACGAATTCCCTGCCCTACTTGAGTCGCCCACCAGCCACACACCCTGCCCCCCGGAGGGAATTCGTCTACCATGTCCTTACAAAGCCTTACATGCATCACAAAACTCTCCTTAGCTCCCTCTTAAAAGCAATTTTGGAGGACACCCTTCCAACTACCAGCTAGTAAACTCAGGGAGTCGCCCACCCCCTCTTTCCTCCAGCCACACACCCCGCCCCCAACGCCACCCGCCCCCCAAGCCGCGCTGAGATCATGAAAGCGGCCGCCACGTCGCCCCAGAACTTCCAGCCCTCGGGCGGGCCACACGCTGCCAACGGACCCTGCGCCTACAGCGCGCCCTGCTCCCCCTGCGGCCCCACAATGGGAGCAATGGGAGCAAGAAGCCCGTCCAGTCAGGAGCGCCTTGGATGATTTTGGCCTTGGGGGGCAGGCTGACCTGAATATCAACATGGACCCCCCGAAATAAAAACAAACACATGTTCAGAGAGAAATCTCCTTGTGGGGAAGGACCCCTTATTGGAGTTCGCCGATAATCTGCAAAGGGGAGCTCGGGCACCGTTTGAGTTCTTGTAGCACGTTTGGGCTGTGCTTTTTTGGGGAAATGGGAAATGACCGCGCCTCAAAGATATCGACTTCGACTATTGGCCAATTCTCGTACCATTCAGATTGCCCGCGGGCGGTTGGTGGTTTGGTGGCCGGCTTTCCACTTTGGCTTGAACAACCTAAATGGGGGTGCAAGCCAAACCAACACTCACTCCCTGAGTATATGGACTTGATACTTTTGGGAAGACCATTTTAGTCTTAGTGGTAGACAACAAGTTCAGACTTTTTCGGTCCAATCCACTCGATCGGAAGTGAGACCAAGGAGGGAATGTGAATTGAAGACAATCTTCGCAATTTTCCGAAGTCCGCCGCTTACAACTGGCAAGCTTCAGAGTCTCCTTACTTGCGCTCACTTTGCGGTGTCCACCGGAGTATGCGATCGATTTTGGACAAACTGTATGTGTCAAAGTAGGGTCGCCCTCAAAGTTGTTCAACATTGTGTTTTTTCTGTTTCGGTTCCTTTAACCTCTTCTTCTTTTTTGTTTTCATCAGAATGGTGGGCTTTCAGGTGGTTTCCTTTAATCCAACCTTTCAAAGGGTGCCCCAAAAAGACGTCGACCCATACGCAGACCGATCCGTTCCGCCCATTTTCTTTCGCCGAGGCTCTCACCCGCGGAGCCCTTGACGGGAGGTTCACCCACACGGAGCCAGGCGGGGTGCGAGGATCGCGGAGTTTCCGCCGGTGCGACCCGAAAAGGCGACAGTGGGGAGCGCCCGTTTTTGGGAGTTGGGACCCCTGTTTTTGTTTTTGTTTTTTCTTTAACAAAAATGATTTTAAAAGGATTCTCAGAGAAAAAGGAACATTTTTGGTGGACCCCGAAAAAGGACATCCAAAAGCACCTTTTGAAAAGCAGTGGCTTTCCCACCAAACCTGGTTTCAATGTGCCCATAACAACCTGCAAAAACCTGGGACTTGATGCTCTCCATTCCTTCTGCCAGGCTCACTGGGCAACCTTTGACCTGCCATTCGGCCCTCAGCTTCTCAAAGGCCGGCTAAACAATAGCAACCAGAATGCATGCCACGTGATAGTCGGGCCGTGCGCCTCGTTTACAGCATGCCCGTCCGCAAAAGCAATTGAGCACCCCAAAGAATAGCAAGAGTGGAGCCACACTGGAGTCCTGAACCACGTGCCAGTACTACAAAACCCTAAGTTACCACGAGTCATCATTGTTTGCATTGGCTTGACAAATGTGCGGCCTCGACAGATGAGTGATCACTCACTTCGTGATTTCACGGAGCAGTGGCAAACAAGAAGTTCAGACTCTTTTTGTCAGTCCATCACAGCTGTGCATGATTCCACTGGTTGACCCCTCCCCACCCACTTCCAAGATCTGAGACATCCGCAGCTCAGCCATGGCACGTCACGCGGCGCGGGTGGTGCTGGCCTGCAGTGTGCTGGGCTTTGTGTGCTTTGTGCCGCCGCTAACCGCCGCGCGAGGTGCGAAGCTGGGGCTGTTCAGTCAGTGCCAATACTTTAGGGCGTGCTGACCCGAGGGTAAAACGAGAGAGTCAAGGCTTCTGGCCCTCTCTTGGAGGAAGCCAGGAAAAGGGAGGGGGCCAGGTGGATCCTATTGGGCAGCGGGTGTGGATTGGTAGGCCGCATTCGCGAAGCTCGCGCTGCTCTGGCAGCTGTCCCCGGGGTGGGGCTCTTGTCCGAAGAGACGCAGACAGCCCCTTGGCGCAACCATCCACAGTATGCGCAAAAATTCGATCTGAGCTCTTGCTCGGTTTGCGCTTCGCTTTCTGAGGTGTCGCTCGCTCCAGGACCGCTGGGGTTGGAGGTGGATGCGCCCACAGGGCTGGTGCAGAAAGTGCTGGAGGGGGGCGCCGGGGCGACTCGGTGGGAGGTTTGCTCACGGTCACAACATGTTCATCTTGTATTTCCAGGCCCTTTGGGCAACTGAGTTGTCTATTGCAATTTGTCGTTCTCACGGCGACCCTTGTTGGTTTTGAGGCGGGTCACTGGAAATCTGTTTTGGTTTTCCCCTGGGAGCTTCAGCAAATGGAGGCGTGCGCGGCCGCGGGCTTTCTTTTCTCTGCCCTGGCCCCAGGTTTCGGGCGGAACATTGAGACAGACTCGAACCTTGAAACTGGGGACCGAAGGCGTCGTTAATGGGCGGAGGTGGCCACCCTTATGCCCAAACCCAGGTAGTTTCTCGGTTCTTCTCAGAGTTGGAACCAGCTCAAAAGTCCTTGGACATGAACCCCCGCCTAAATGATGTCCAAAGGGTTCAGTGGCCCAAACCCATCATACTTCATATCCCCCCTATATAGCACCTGCCAAGATCCATTTGTACGGTGCCTTAGTGGGAGGGCGGTTGCCCTTTTTATGGCAAGGGCATGTTCAGGTATGATTTTGTGCAGGTATGTAGGGTATACCACCTAATGGGTACATGCTGCCTCGCAAGCTCATATTTAGTTTATATAAGCCTTACCTCCATACCCCATACCTACACAGTTTTGGACCCGCAAACATGGTGTTTTTTTGCCAGACTAGATTTCGGACTGGAACAAAAACACACAAACAGGGGTACAATACCGAGCCTCAAACCAAAAGGACGAGCCACCCATATATGACGCGCCCCCGTATATTTGTTGCATGGCGCAAATGCTTGTTTTTTTGCGCCAAGGAGAAGGCCGGGGTGCAAGCTGGGTGGGTCTTCCAGACTGTGGGTGGCAAGCCCTATGAGATTCTGGCGCTCAAGGCAGGTGGGGTAGACTTTGGCTAGGTCCCCCAGTAGTGCCCTTTTACTGTTTCTTTTTTGGGGGGAGGGGTCCCCTACTAAAATAGACTACAGCAAAAAGTTGGCACCCTTATTCTATCCTCTCAAATCTGGAGGACCTAGTTTGGGCTCCTTGTTAGTCACGTTCGCAACCACCAGAAGACAGGGGCAAAAAAGCGCCATGGCTTCATGGAAGTGGCATCCAACTCATTCTCGCATATTCTGGCTTTTGGGACGTCTGGAAAGAAGGATCTATGCAAATCGGGAGTTACCACCAGTTTTTGGTTCGTTCATGGGGAGCTACCACCAGTTTTTGTTGGTTTTCCTGTTTTTGGTACCGTCCTCGCTCTCGAGATTCCCACCCCCGCGGCCTTGCGACCCATCGTTGGCGCTCCGAACCCCGCACCGGGCATCCGACCAAAAACCGCGGCCGGGGTTTGGGGTTTGGGCAAGCCCCCCCCAAAGTAACTTGGAGAACCCCTCGAAGTCGCGGGAAGGCGGTGCCGGAGTGGGGGCCTTCACGGTTGGCATGCGTTTTTTTTTTCTCCGAGCATTCAAACCAATTCCGGCGGCCTCAAGGCTTCAGGAGGAAACCCAGGAGAGGTGGCTGGGGAGGCTGAGGCCGTTGGATATGTGGCTGCAAAGTCAATGCAACGAACTTCTCCAGACTTAGCTCCCCTTTTCGATGTTTTGCTTTTTTAGGGTCCCCCCTCTTTTCCACTAGCCGCGCAATTTTTGCTGGGGTTCTAATCCCAGCCAAGTCTGGATCTTGTGATTCCCATGTCACATCCCTTCGGTCCAAGGAATATGCCAAGAAATAAAGAACCCAATGCCAACCGTCAGGGTTCCTCACTTCCTGGGTTCATGAACTTTAAACTTTTTGGGTTTGGACCATTTTAGTGGTGAACCGAAAGTTTGGTTACTTTTTTTGGCCCATCCACTCGGTCGGAAGTGAGGTTCTCACTTGTGGCCCTTGAATTGTAAGTGGTTTCCACTCTTCGTGTCGGTTTCTCCGAGTCCCTTTGGTTCGACACCTCAAATTTTGAAAAATTTCCCGGGCCCCGCTGCTCCTAAAGGTTGAATCCCCCCAGTCTTTTCACAGATTCAAGGGGGATTTTTTTCGACTTTTGAGCTGGGAATCCGGCGATCCCTGCTTCACACACCGTTCCTTTGCAACGCCGCCATCTTCTGACAGCGATTTGTGGGAAGAACTCGGAGCAATATGAGAGCCTAAATAAAGAGTCATGGGGTTGTGTGGCAGTTCAAGAGCCAAACCTAGTTCTAGGAGCTGCATACATGAGAGATCTACACCAGTAGATGGCACAATTCCCATTTGTGTGGGGAAGTAAAAGGCACTAGACCAAGCTGGAATTCTGCCATCCACTTTCCACCCTACTGTAGGACTGTTCAGTAACTTACACAAGTTTCCGCTGTCTGATTGCCGGTTGGAATCGCAAATTTCAACGAGACACTCAGGGTTTCTGGGTGGCTCCCAGCCATCCCCTTGGCATTTTCATTTGTCCCACTAGAAGTTAAACTTTTAGCAGGGGATCTGAGGGCAGCCCAGGTTCATCCACATATTTTTTTCCGCAAAACCACCGGGATCAACGAGGCAACACCTCCGGTTGCCGAGGGTCTCCGCCAGGAGCTCACGCGGGGGGAGGCCTCCTATGAAGCCTCCTTCGCACTGCCCAAGGCCAACCCCACCGCCATCTTCTCCACGCCTCTCGAGGGAAAAGGCTCTGCTCAGTTGTTCAGTGGCTCCCTTTTTCCTTTTTCTTTTTTTTTGGGGGGGGTGGCTGCCCCACTAAACTGGTCTTCCCCCCCAAAAAAAAGGCTCCCTTTTTTTCCAGGGTCACTGAACAACTGAGTCTGAGATGGTTTCCGTAGTGGGACCTACAACTGGGAACCACTCATCTTTGGTGCATTTTGCCAAGGGGATGTCAGGACTCTTGTTTTTTTTGCCAACTAATGGGTTTTCCGTATTAAACCACGAAAAGTTAAACTTTTAGTAGGGGGGCGGAAAGCAACAATGTCGAGCTTATATTCATAAGCCAATTCTGCTTATGAATAGGGTTGTGTCCCTGGGTTTAGTGGCGAAGCATGTCATGACTGTTGGAGGGGAACACCCCCTACAAACAGGTTGGTTGATGAATATGGCGCCAGTATATGAAGAAGATATACGGGATGAGCATCAAAAAACAATTATTTTTGGGATCAACAAACAAATATTTAGGGGATCAAAAACAAATTATTGAAAAATATACCACCTCCCCATTTTGCCGAGGGAAGGTGTGCTAATTCTTGTGGCCTTCGCTGCATCGTCTTTAGCGGGAAGTCTTAACCCTTCAGGCCATCCAAAAAGGGCCAGACGGCAACCACGAACCTAGGGCCCAACTCAAGAAATGTAGGCCTTCCCACAGGGCTCCTTAAAAGATCTCCATTTTGCCAATTTGAAACATGTTGCTTTTTCCACCAACATAAAGGGACACCACTATTTACAAGGCAATGTTCAGGTGCAAACAAAATGTAAGCATCTCTGTCCCAGTGCTCAGAAAATAAGTTGTCGACTCGCTTAATGAGCCTGGCAACCATCGAGGGTGTTCCAAAAGCCAAAAGTGGCTTGATCCAAAAGGGAACACCCCCCGATCAATCAAGCAGGGGTTAACCTTAGATCCGGGGTTCCCATTTGCTGAAAAAGGCCCCCCCTTTCATTCATAAACAGGTTGGTTGATTAATATGTTGTGTCAACATCGGTGGTTTCTGGTTGTACATCCCACTCAGGGACCACCCCGCCCCCCTGCATAAACTGGGGTTGGTCGGGCCCAAAATCAATCCTTGGGCTTCGCTGTAGGTCCATGGGGGACATCGAGGTGGAGATCTTTTTAGCGCCTCCGCTGCGGTTGGGGGGGGGGGGGGGCATTTTGGGCCCACAAGGCGAATCGACCAGATCCCTGTTGGGTTCCTCTTGTTCATTTTTGGTGGCCCCAAAAGGGTTGCCCTTGGCTGCAAAGCTGGGGAGAGCGCGAGCCAAAAAAAACAAGAAGTTAACTGTTTGTTTCTGGGTCTCTGGGTCCCTTGGGGGCAACTGAGAAGCAATCCACTCAGGAAGGAGTGGTCAAATGTTCCAGCTTTCTGTGGTTCATGCGGGAACACCCTCAAATGCAAGCATGAGAGCCAGGGGACTCACTCAATTTCCCATGCCCCAAGAGGCTCTTGGGGGGAACAAGTAAGATGTTGGACTCATATTCATATATATATATATATACACTTTACTGTTTCACTGTTGTTGGCACGTTTTTAGATTGTTTGGTTCTGTTCATTTTGAGTTGGAGCCGCAAAAAAAAAAAAAACACAGTTTTTGCAAGCCCATACCAAGGGTTGTAAAGCTTTGGCTGGCGGCGGCCGGTGATTTCCCGGACTCTCCCAAGGATCGCGTACCACGCACCGCCTCCAACTTCATCGACCTGGCGCAGAGCGGCTTCTATGACGGCGTCCACTTCCACCGAGCCCGGGATCCCCAGGCGAAATCCTGACCGTTGCGAGATCCGCTCGCACCGTTCAGAAACCCTATGATTTGGTTTTCCCCAACGTAAATAACCAAAGCAGTGGCTACCACCCTGTTTCAATTGGGTGCGAACGGATTTCGCCCATCCACAGAATTCCCCTGAAAGGGTTTTACTAAGTTGCCTGTTGCTTGCACTTGCGTTTCGGTATGTTTGCTATTTCACCGGGTTTCAAAGTGAATCCATCACTTCTGGAAATTAGTATTTGTTTTCCAGGGGGCACAAGCAAATGGAAGCTTGGGGTGCCGTTTGAAGTGCATCCCTAGGTTTCCCGAGAAACATCACCAACAAGAGTGAGTGTTCTTTTGGTGGAGTGATGCTTCAGGATGTTTCAATGCTTGGGCGCTAAACGATTCTTTTGGAGTCCCCCCGTTTGTTGGGCATCCTGGCAGGCAAACAAAACGAGTTGGCTCTTCCTGGTTGGTGTTGAAACGATCCCAGCAGGGTCAGGGCGGCCTATACTTCCTCGTGTCCCAGGCCACATTCATTGCCAGAGCTGTGCCCGTTTGTCCAGGTGTCCCAGTAAACTCAATTGCCCAAAAACCAAATGGGTATGGCTCAAAAAAACCGGTACCAAAATGGAACCCTGATAAGTGGAAACATGGACCAAAACCTGCGTAACCCTAGCTCTTTAATTTTGAGCCACTGCCAAATCGACCATTTTGGCCTTTCGGTTTCCCTTTGGTCAATATGTGGGGGTTCCAAGTTGATCACCGTATTCCAGGCCCCCAGCAGGTCTGAGAAACAACAAGCACCAAACCAAGTTGTTCAGGGCTCCTTAATAGACCTCCATTCCCTAGGAGCCCAAAGACCCTATATATGAAGGTCTTGGCCGAAAGACCTGCGCCGGAGCCCTTTAAGACAAAGACCTTGAAATTTGGGGTCTCGGGCCCGACAGATTGTCGAATGTTTGTTTTTTCTGAAAGACCTTGTTTTTTGAGGTCTTTGGAAGTCCGCCTTGTTTTTGAGCAACCACTGGTAAAATAAGGATGCTGCACTAGCAGTAGAGCAGTAAACATTTTTGCATGCAAAACTTGAACCATGGAACCATGGCCGAGCCAGAATGCACGGGCCAGCAAACACACACCTACACGCGCAAACATATACAAACGTCCATGTAAATGAATCTCAGGAACATTGCGAGAAGGATTGATAGAAAGCGCTCCCGAAGTCAATGCTTGTCAAAGCCATAGTCAGTTTGGACAACTTGCTTTCCAGATTACACTGCAAGGTTCGCAGCGTGCTAGACCGGACTTGCTTTATATCGCAGAAGGGTCACGGGCATCTGTCAATGTGCATGAAACGCGTCCTTCCTATCAGTCCTATCACTCGGACAAGGTCAGTAGAAACCTGTATTCTGTCTCAGTTGACCAAAGGGATTCAATGTCGCGATGCCTAACCATTTTAGCCCGCGGGCGCCAAGGCTTGCTGGCAGCAGCTGTTCAGACCAATCTCAGCAAACTGAATCGTAGAAGCCAGGTGTGACGCGCATGTGAATCTGAACATTTTGCAACGTTGGCTGACCGGAGGCCTTACATGATCAGTGGTGTATTGGCAGTTGCCCCAAACAAACTCCTTGCAAACAATGGTAAAAGCAATCCTAGTGTGTTGCTACCGCATTGTTGTTTTTGTCGCTGGGACTACAGCATCTTGAAGTTACACGAGCTGTTTGCCCGACTGGGTCAAGTGGACGAGCTTAGAAGAGTTCTGAATCTTAGCTGGGAGATTCTTGATTCTTGCCAAAGGCCTCGGATTGTTTGTGCCGAATAACGGCCAGTCTGCAGCATGCGGGTGTAGTGCGCTGCTCCAGGTCTTGGCTTCTATTTGCGCAGCTGCAAAAAATTGCAGTTGGACGCTAGACGTTAAAGGCCCCTGCTTGTGCTTGTCGCCATGGCTCAGAATGGCGTTATATTGACGTAAGCATTCCCCCATCAAAACTTCAGTTGCAGGACGAACCCAACTTGTCGTTTTGTTACCCTGCGAAAAGTGGAATGAACCCTGCGCAAATATTTCAGTGTCCCATGATAAAACTGCTGGAATGCCTCTCGTCACATTTAGGTTCCCATTGGTGTCCGCCAATCTGCAAAGCCGTTCATAGATCAATCACGCGCGTCTCCCCACATTCTATTCCTTGGCCTGCAGCAGACACATGCTGCAAAGTCAATTGCCGTTGAACATAAGTTGTTCATGAATACTTTCCGTTTACCAAAGAATGCCCTCGCATGTCATTGTCCTACATGGAAAGCGGACGCGCCCGGCTTCAATTTGGTTAAGTAGCTCCCGATGCGTAGATCTGCAGAATCTCCGACTTATTTCTTGTTCACAAAACAATTGAACTGACACATACTTGCGCAGACATTACACTGCGCAAATGACTCAGCCATATTGTGGGCAGGCGTTTGGGAGTGGTAGGGCCAACATGCAGTCAGAGCGTAACTTCAGAACCTTTTTTGCTGGCCCGGTTTTGCGCATCCGCTTATCCATTAGCAGAAGAAACCAGCATCCTAGTTGAGAACCTCTGCTCAACCGAAGCCATGACAGAGCAGTGTTTGCTCGCACGATTAAACACGCACATGGAACCTAAGCCTATGCCACATCGGAAAGCCTACTTCCATGAAGTTTGGACAGCGCTTTTGGGTAGGGAGCGTTTGTGTAGCGCCAGTTGTTGACAAAAAGTGTTTTGACACCAGCATTGAACCTTAGCGTTGTCGTGCCTCAAACAATTGATGCAGTGTGAGACGTGTTCATAGGGCCCTCGTCGTGCTTGCGGTGTGTTTCTGCACCATTTGTGAGCTAAAGTTGCTGGCTGAACCAAGAGGTGTCCTTTTCGAAACAAAACATGTGAGAAACTTCTCATGCGAAACCAGGGTGTCCTTTCTTGCCAAAAGCCAATCTGACGAAAGCGCGAAGCAACTATCGAAATATTTTGAACCTAGCCTTTCCGCGTGGAAACTTGCTGCAAATCTTGAGTGACGAGGTCTTGCTCATCGTCATGCGTCGCAATGACCCAGCCGGCCCTGCGTCGTGAAGCAAACCCAAGATTGGATGTTGCGATTGGCTGCCATTGGAAGGTCCAGCACAAAGACTTGGGCAGAAGGAATGCTGATGGCTTTGTAAAGGTTGCAAACTAGGCTGTAGACCGGGCCACGCTAGTTTTACTTTTCGGGCTGCCCTACCGCGTCCGTCAGTTCAGCTATGAATTGCGAAACCTTCTGGTCATTTATTGCCGACTTTTTAACCACGCGCGCATCACATTGCGTTGTGTGGGAAATCTTGCCACAGCCGCGTGATTTCGCGTGATTTCGCGTGATGTTGCGTGAAAAATGGGACGAAGGACCTGTATATACAGGCCTCGCGTGATTTCGCGTGAAAACGTGATTTTGCGTGATTTTCTGCATGACACAATAGAAAAACAAAGTGGCTTGCCTTTTGTGGTGGAGGCTGAGCGTGGCAGGCGGACTTTTTCCTACTATCTATCTTTGTTCTGAGCTGTGCGCCGTCGCACGCACATGATTATAGAGCCGTCGAGGGATAATGGGTGGCAACGACTTGGGATGCGGGCAACGCGGGCATGGCGTGTTTTGTGAAATAAACACGCCCTTGCAAAGTTCTGGGGCTGGTAAGGCGCACCAACGACAAAAAATGCACATAACATGGGCCAGTCCAGAGCCTAGTTTGCAACCTTCGACAAGCAGCCATTAGCATTCCTCCTCCGTACTGGCGTACGGGCAGAGACTTGAGTACTGGACCGTGAGCAAGGTCATTGCAAGATTTGTAGCAAGTTTCCGGCGAAAAGGCTAGTTTCAAAATATCCCAGCAGTTGCTTCGCGCTTGCGTCAGATTGGCTTTTGGCAAAGAAGGGTACTCTGCCAAGTAGGAGCTGGACAAGGCACGAGATATTGCCGGTCCAGGTTTCGCATGAGAAGTGTCTTGTTTTGCTTCAAGAAGCAGGAAATTGTCGCCCAGAAATTGCGCAGAAATGACGAGGGCGCCATGAACATGTCTCACGCTGCATGAATTTTTGGGGCACTAACAGCACAGCGCCGTTCACCCTATTACACTGCTAAATGCCAATGCTAGAGCACATTGCTGAACAGCAGTCCTGAATAGACAATGCCGAGGTGCTACTGGGCGATATCGAAGCCCATCAATGGACATAGCTTATCCGATCAAAGCGAAAAACTAAAACAATGCGCAACACTCATACTTACTTTGTTTTAGGGGCGGATGCGCCTACATTCCACAAATACGTATACTCACATACCTGATTGCTGCGCAGAACTTGTGAGGTTTCTTCAAGATTTGGTCATATTTGGTCTAAGTCTACAGGAGTTTCAACAATTTTGATATTGAACCCGTATATCAAACATTCTTCCAGCTGGTTTCCCGAATTTCGCACAAGCCAAGCATCTAGCAATATGCCCGCTTTACTGACCCAGAGCATGCCGGATGCTCAGAAGTGGAATGTCCAAGCTGGGCTTTATCCAAAATTTATGTGTGTGCTTCAATACTACTGGGATGTCTGGCAACCCGCCAATAATTACTTGGTGTTGTAGAGAAATAACGAGGCTGCAGCGTGAACCTTTGTCGACAAAAAACCCAAACAATCGTAAATTCGAGGCCACTATCTGATTAGAGACTGTTAGTATCACGTCAGCTACGCGCATACCACAAGCAAATGCTCGTAGCCTAACAGAGGCTTTGCACTTTGCCATCGTTTTGAATTAATTGTTAGCTGGGGAACGCACCTAGGCACAAGCCAAAATACGGGTTGTCATCGAACATGTTGATCAGGGTCGCTATCACACTTGCCGCTTTTGGTTCCGCATCAAAACAGCATATGCGCACGTTTCAGCCGTCTTCGTTTTAGCTAGTGTTTGTTTTACTAGGACACCCAAGTAGGCGCTTCCTGAAAGTAAGCACATATAGAACCAAGTCGCGCAACTTTCCTACCTCGGGGCTGCAGAAGAATGCATCAAACCGACGGGAGCGCGATTCCTCCATAATTAAATCATGTGTCCCCACGAACGCTGTGAGCATCTGCCATCCTAGACCTTAACCCCAAGAGCAACTATTTGACTATGTTTTTACGACAAGTACATCAGACAGTTAGTTATTTCAAGTTGTTTGGAGCTTATTCTAGTGAACGCGTTCGGCAGCTCAGTGGTCCGCAACTCATCAAGCAACTTCTGAGGTTGGGTCCTCACTCACACGTGCGTTTGCGGTTGAGCCCCGGGCAACCGATTGGGCTTTAGTTGGGGTTTTGGTGTGGTGGGTTCTGCTTGATGCAATGGACGCGATATGTCAACCTATCTCGCGATGGCCTGGCTGCAGTTGTAGTTGCACGAGCTATGTTAGTGCATTCTGTGCTACTACATAATTAGGGGAGCTTCGCAAAGTTTGAACTGCATGAAAAAGCTCGGAAATAGTCTTAATGTGTGCTGACATATCAGCGCACATTTTTGCTTGCAACCATTTTTTGGGGTCTTGATTCAATACGTATATCTAGCTTCCCTTGCAAGGGCGAAGATGTAAAATGGTCCCCATCGTTGAGAGCTTGGGGCCCCAGGTAATCGACAATAGGCTCAAAAACTGGGATTTAGCCATGAAGTGCATGTGACGAATGACCCTACGGAGCCAAATCAGCTGCTTGCATGCGACTTGGAGTGCCTCAAGCAGCGACATCTTGATGACTTTGTAACTTGGCCACAACATGTTCTAAACAAAGACCTCATATTTGACACATAAAATGAAAGACCTTGAAATTTGAGGTCTTTCACAAGACCTCAAATATGAAGGTTTCGGGCCCCTAGGGATTTTGCAACCATTTGAAACATGTTGTTTTTTCCACACGAAAATAAAGGGAAACCACCATTTACAAGTTGCAATGTTCAGGTGTTTTTCATGTAAGGATCCCTGTTCTTGCCTCTACTGCTATTGGGTTGGATCTTTAGACTTTAACTTTTTGGATTCCCCTCATATTTCCTTTTAACCAGCAAAAAGTTAAACTGCGCTTGGGTACCTCGTTCTATTTGACCTCCGGTTCTTGGTCCGACATAGTCCGGCCATGTTACCGAACATGAAGATGCGGGAGCCAAAGGTGAAAAACTGTTGGCTGGGGGATCCCGCCAGCACCCAAGTTGCGCCCCCTTGAACCCAGCATCCGGAGTTTTTCACGCATCCGGATCCCTTTTTAATGTCGCGCCCCTCTTCTCAAGGCGCGTGCCGCTGGAGGAGTCCTGAGACAAATCTTCGCTCAGGTCATCCCCAACTTCATGATCCAGTTCGGGTGCCCCAACGCCAAGGACTCGATGGAGAAAAAGCTGCGGCCGGGATGGCCCCGGGTCGGAGGGCTCCCGGAGGAACGGCTTTGTGTTCAAGGCTCCCTTTTGTGTTTTGTTTTTTGGTTTTTTGTTGGGTGACTTGCCATGAACATATGCTTTATTGCGCAAACTTGCTGTTTTTTTTTTTTGGGGGGGGGTGTTTCCATACAAATATATGTGCTGTATTGCGCTGCTGTTCTTGGCTTTCTGTGTTGTGACATGTTATGACCGAGGTGTTTTGTGGATCTTCCAAGTTGCAGTCGGCGTTGAGAACTCAACTCCTCCACGGCTCAAGGCTCTTGTGAGTTGCGTCGGGTGTGTGATGAGTTTTGGGGTTTCCTTCAATGGGAGCTTAGGAGATTGGGGACGGACCCCCCCCAAAAAACAAGAAAAGAAAAACACGAAAGCAAGACAAAGAAACATCCTGCCAGAGTCTCAACACGCAGTTTGGCCCAGATCCGACCTTCCCTAAACACATGTTAATGCCCCAATAGTCGTGAAGTGGCACCAAACACCTCTTCGCCTCAGATTCCGTTTGGCGAGATCGAACATTTGCAGCAAGTGCAACAACCTCAACATTTTATTTGGCCCTCAGGAGTTCCTCCCACAACGAGTGTTGTTGGAAACTCTCGCGCTGAGGGGTACCATGTTATAAACCATGTTTGCCCTCGACTAAATTTATGAGACTGATAGAACAAACCCCAAAGGCCAAGCTCGTTTAATCAGCAAGCAGTCTTTTCCAAAACGGCACATTCGCCTCCAACAGGGGCGGCATGTGTGTATGGTGTGTGTGTGTGTGTGTGCGCGTCGTCAAATCCACCCCAAACAGGATACCGAGCGCAAGAAAAAGGACGCGCCACCCATACATTACCTACCCGGACCCTCAAACTACCCTCGAAAAAGCGAATGCGCCCCTTCATTTCGGGTTGCAATAACTTGCATGAGCAACCAAGAGAGTACCACTGAGTCCCCCAGTCCCGACTACAGAAAAAAGTTGGTACCAGCTTATTCTAACCTCTCTACTGGAGGACCTAGACCATTTGGGTGTCCGTACTCTGCACTTCAGTTGCTGTTTCGGGCGCCACTTCTGCTTCCCACGGCCCACACGTCAGGGGCCCCAAAGCGTCCGCATGGCAGGATCCTTTTAGCCCCTACGCGGGGACCGGCGGGCCGCCGGACGGCAGCTTCAAGAACCTGGTGACAGGCGACCTCTCCTCGTCGCCGGGATCGTCGTCTGCCATTTGGCTTTTTCGCCCCCTGAAAAAATAAATATATTTCCAGTAGTGGTAGATCCCCTTTAAAACCAACAGGGGAAAATCGTTAAACAAAAAACAAAAACACATTCTCGGGGCTCCACATCCTGAGTTGCTGCACCCCGTGGATGCCAGTGACCTTTTTTGTTGCTAGGCTAGGTCCCCCAGCTAGTTGCTTTTGCTCACCAACCTTTTTTGGTGGGGAGGGTGTCCCCCAAAATGGACTACAGAAAAATGTGGGTACCCTGATTCTAACCTTTCTACTGGAGGACCTAGTAGGGCACCCAACCAGCCATGTCCCTTTGGGTGAGGGAAAGGCTGGGTTACCTACTCAATACGCGGGGAAATGGAATCGGTGGGGGAGGCTTAGTGACTTGTTGGGTTTGGTGGCCATTTTCGCGAGCACAAAGTCCTCCTTTTCCCGCGGCAGTGGGAAGGCAAAACAGGGTTGGATAGGGTCTTGACCAGATCAATAATTTTGGGGGAGCGGGTCGGCTGTCTTGCAAGGTAGCACAAGGACAACTCCCCCCCTAATGTATCGAAATAAAGGGCTAGGCGGGGCAAATGCGCCCAGTCGCGGGAGGGAATTTGTTTCGATGTAACTCTTGGGTTCTTCTTAGTCGCTTGAAATTTGAAGCATGCCACGTGGCGCTGTGTTCTAATTTGGGCTTTTACCTCACCAGGGCCGAAGCATACCTCACTTCTTGGAGGTTTGTATGCTATTGAATGGCTTCCCCAATGCCAATCGCAAAGCGTCTTGATGCCGGTGAGACCATCCGGAGCTTCAACCAATTTACTGAGGTTGCCTGCGCTGAGTCAGAATTCCACCAGCTCAACCAGCTAGCCGTGGTTTTGGGGCCTTTGCGCAAGTGAGAGAAGTGTTGGCTCATGTTTTTTGTTTGTTTTCCCCGAGTCAACGGGTGGCCAAGCATGGGTGTTCTTTTTGGTTGTTTTCGTAGAAAAATACGATTCCTGGTTTACCTGGTGGTTTAATCATCTACCAGGGAAACCCATCTATTTCCCCTTAAAGGACACCTATGTGGTCAAGTTGAAGCACCCATGTCCTTCGGGGAAGGGCCAATCTTCAGCCCTTTCAGGCGAAGTCGAGAAGAGGTTCGGTGGTGGCAACATCAAGGATGTCGATTCCGTCGATTTCGTCGAACACATGTTCCTTAGGTGCATTTTACCAAGGGATGTTAGGACTTTAACTTTTTGCCAACTAATGGGTTTTCCGTATTAAACCACGAAAAGTTAAACTTTTAGCAGGGGAGCAGAAAGCAACCAAGTGTTGGTGAACAAGTGCTGGTCTACTTTTAGTCTCAAAGTACAGGAAGATTGAGTTGGTTTTAGCGCTTCCTGCCTACATGCAAACTGAGTTGGCCCTTTCTTTGATCTTCATGGGGTACTGTAGATGCTTGGCAACGGCCTCTTTGCCGAGGGCTTTCTTCGCCGGGACCAGTTCTTTGCGTCAGCCCTTTTTGTTTGAATGTATCCTGTGCCATTTAGAAACAAGCGGTCGAGAGTACAGTTGCCGAGTTTGGAAGCACCCATTTGATTTCCGCCGTTGAGTGGTGTCATAGCTTAGTTGACGCGTGGATGGCCGTATCAAAGTCAACATGTTGGTGGATGTTTGGGGGCACCCAGTTGCCTTTGTACCGTGTCCTTGCTTACTTGCTTCTGCTTGCCTTTGTCTCGCTTCTCTAGTTCGTGGATTGTATTTGGGGGGGAGACTGTTTTAGTGGTCCACTCAGGAAATGAGTTGTTCAACCGCCGCATCTTAGTCGTCGACACCAGAGATGAGCGAAACCAATGCTTCGAATGCCTTTCTCCAGCAGAATGGTTCTGTGAGAGCCCTTTCGGCTTGGGGGGTTAAGCGGCACCAAGAGAAACGTGCTCACCCGCTGTGGCATTTATATTTGTTTTCCGGACAAAAAGACGTGCAAGAGCTGCGAGCCCTTATGACTCCGCGTGAAGGTTAGTAAGGCGCAGTCCCAGCCGGAGTTAGTTGTGGCCGCCTTTTCAATTGGTTCTGGGTTCACCAGTTTTGCACTAGGTTTTCATAATGACTCCCTTGATACATGTGTTCAGCATCAAACCACATGCCAGATGGTGCTGATTTCCCTTGTCTACGTTGCAGTGCCTGATAGATTGCGGATTTCGAGTTAGAGATCCTTCCATTGGAGCCACCAGGTGGATAATTATACCTTTAGCCCCTTCTTTATTCCGAGGGCCAACCTGCATACCCCAAATCGACATACCCCAAGATTCGTGGTTTTACATGGGTTATACGGCCCTTTTGGTGGGGCATGCCCACTTTGGGGTAGTGATCCGTTGGCCCTTAACAGGAATTTGTTTCGCCCAGGACGAGTTCATCTCCCAGGATAGCAACGTGAAGGGGACCTTGTCCATGGCCAACACGGGGCAGCCCAATTCCGGCGGCTCCCAGTTCTTCATCAACGCGGCTTGATTTCATCGAATTCCTGAATTTCCCACTTCCTGAGTTCATGGACTTTCGTCTCACTTTTTTCGGGCTTGGACCATTTTAGTGCCTTAGACAACCAATTTGATAACCTTTTGTGGGCCCATCCACTAAGAGTCTCACCGTTTGAACCTTCAGCGGTTTCCCAACGTTTTTGGCTCTTCAGTTGGTTCCTTAGGTAAGGTTTTCAGGGTTTGGGGTCCATGTATCCCACAGTTTTGTTTCCAGAATCTTTGGGCTAAGCCTTCTCTGAAGCCCTTTTTTCATCAACTACCAACAAAAGCTGCCCTTCAAATTTCTTCCCATAGTCACTAGTTTGGGGTACCGGAGTTCGATCCCTCGAGCAATAAAGGTACTGAACTAGAGTGTTGTTTTTCCTTGCTGGTGCTCAGTAGGGAATGAACATGAATGAACGAGGGTGTTGGGAATGAACCTAGGGATTCCTGTGAAGGAAGCCATGGGGGATGGTTTGTAGGGGTCATTCCCTCATTCCCTGCTGAGAATCAGCAAGTTTCCGGGGTGAGTTTCTTTCCGCTGCGCTTTGTCCGGGGATGTGGATTTCCATCAAGACGCGCCTGGTTCAAGCTACTTAGAAAGTAGCTTTTAACAATTGCAAGAGCAGCAACTCCAATTTGATCAATTATGACCTGCTTACGTTGCAACAGTTACAAACATGGTCGTAACCTACTTTTTTGATGCTTGTTGAACATAAGGATTAAATTCAGCCCCGAAGGCCAAGGAGGAGAAAGGCTAGGTGCCCAGCCTTCCACCCACTGAATTCTTATGCAAAAGGATGCTTCTTCTTCATAGCATCTGGCTAATGCGAGCATGAAGCTTGCCTTGAGAACAGACGCATGCCTTTGAAGAACCTTATTTTCAGCACCCCTCAGAAGACCAGAAATCTTGAACTCGGCCGCAGCTTCAATCCAGGGCATTGTGTAGCAAGAATGTACTGAATTAAATTTAATGATGTGTAAAGCAATAGTCAGAAGGACACAGGAGCAATCTCCAATCAACACATATCAAAGCTGCCGCATGCTTCTGACAGAATGTTAACAATCGACCATAAAGTTGATCTTTGCCGGAATGTGGGATGGTATAGAGGTTTGGTCATTCCCCCGTACAGCAACAATCCTTAAGGAGGGCTTTTGCTAAGGCGCTACAACAACAAGATGGTGCTTTTGTTTGCAGGGAACGGCCCAAAGTACAGAGGGGTTTCATATCACAGCGCAAGAAATGTGCTTGGAAATGGTTCAGACTACATGCCAGCTCACTGCATCAACAGCATCTTCAAGCACAGTACTTCCAGGCAACCTAGGAAGTTCTCGCGCACCTGCGCCGCCTGCGCCCTGCAATCCGCACGGTGCCCTCTGCATGCTCTGCAGCGATCGGGGCAGAAAGGCGTCCGGCATGGGCAGGGAGGTGGAGCTGGTTGAGCTTCGTTTTGAGGAGACCTATCCGCTGCGTGAGGGCGTTCTATGGCCCGGGAGGCCTGACCTAGCAGCTCTCGACTGCGACCCTCAGGGGAAGCATTGGGGAGTGCGACGGACATCCGGCGAGCTGGTGTCTGTGATCTCTGTGTTTGTGACTTCGCTGTTGTTGGTATGCTTTTCCGGCTTATGGGTTGGTTGGTCCTGTTCGTTTTCAGCAGGGGGCTGCAAAAGAGCACATGTGGCAGTGGCTCAAAATTAAAGAGCTAGGGTTACGCCGGTTTTTGTCCATGTTTCCACTTGCCAGGGTTCCATTTTGGAATTCCGATTTTTGGAGCCATGCCGCCATACCCATGTCTTTGCCAGAGGTGAGCCCTGACGGCCGCGAGGCTCAGTTCAGGAAGTTTGCTACGGCTGTGGAGTGCCAGGGCCAAGGCCTGGGCTCTTTGCTCCTGCAGCATCTCAGAAGCGAATCGAGATTTTCACCTTTTTGGCGTCTCCTTGGATCTGATTTTAGTCGCGGGCTTGGAAGGTGGTCTTTTGGTTTCCCTGATTTAGTCCATGCTTAGTGAAGGTTCCAAAAGGTCAATCGACCTTTTTGGCGTCTCCTTGGATCTAATATTAGTCGCGGGCTTAGAAGGCTAGGTCCCCCAGCTAGGTGCCCTTTTAATTACCATTTTTTTGGGGTTCCCCTACTAAAATAGACTACATAACAAAGGGTACCCTTATTCTAACCTCTCTACTGGAGGACCTAGAGGGTCATCTTTTGGTTTCTCTGATTTGGTCCATACATGGTTGTCGTTGGGGAAAACAATTGCATTTTTGCTTATTTTGGTGTAGTGGTTGAAATCCAACCACTTAGCTGCTAAAATTTGAGAATTGTTGCTCCCCTTCAACGTCAACCAAGCATATTTAGTGAAGTTTCCAAACTCTTTTTTAAGGTTCCGGGGCAAGTGAGGCATGTGATTCAGCAAGCACGGCAGCAAGGAGTGCAGCGCTTGTGGTGCAACGCCCGCTCCAACCAGGCGAGTTTCTACGAAAAGCGAGGCATGCAGCTGGACGGCGAAGCTTTCCTCAAGAATGGGGTAGAGTACATTTGCATGGAGATGCAGCTCTGTCCAATGGACAGCTGAGAAAAGTGTTGCAGAAGGCCACTCACCCCATGCCTCCGAAAAAGGCGGAGATGGTGTCACTTGAGATGGTGGCACCCGGGCTCTTGCTATTTAGTATGAGCCACTCAGCCCATCCATTTGCCTCCCAAAGGCGGAGATGGTGTCACTTGATATGATTGAAGGTATAGTTCTGAACTGGGGCTTTTTGTGGCAGTCCCAGGACATAGGCCTTTGTTCGAGCAGTCAGGATGCCTCCAAATGGAGCCGCACATGCGGGTCAGCAGTGGTGATGATTTCACTGCTCCGATGTGCCCTTCGTAGCGATTGCTGTCTCACTCCGCGCCAAAAAAGATCCAAAGTCAGAAGCAAACCACGCTAGACGCATACTCTACCCTCACTTGCCCAAGGCGAATCGACCGAATCTGTCCTTTCGATTTCAAATGTTGGTCTCCATGACCCTGTAAAAATGGGGTCATGACCCTTTATTTTGGGTAATGACCAACCATGTTTTAAGTGTCATGGAGACTCAAAAGGTATTTCTAGAGGGGCCAACAGGTGACCACCACCTTGATTTCCAGGTCCCATGCTTGCAAGTGAGTATCCAACAGCCAACTGCCAAGAAATACAGCAAGGCAAAAAGCACGGTGAGGCAAGGGATATGACGTGTTTGCTTTTTTGAGTTGGCACTGTCTTTTGTGTGGTTCTAAGGGGACCCCGAGAGGAACACCGAAATCCATTTTGGGGGGTCTCAATCCTAATATATATATATATATATGTAACGTATGCATATATATATATATACTACCCCCACTGAGTCGTGGGGAAGACTGGACAAATTGATTGGGGTTTAGTTCGACCCCCGGTCCCGACAGGACCCACTCCTCTCAACCGAGCTTATGGAATCCCTAGGGTAAGCACAAGGGGGTGGGTGGTTGAGAGCCCTATAGAGTTCTATAGGGTTCCCTATATATTTCCTTAGGGTTCCCTGGTGAGCATTTTCTCGGTGCAATCGCCTTTGGGGTGCAATTTCACTCTACTACTTGGCCCACATCCGGGGTACGCAAAAAGATATGATACTTTATGACTCTGTGTCATATCTGTTGGCCTCTAAAATCGTCTAGTCTACTCTATTTAGTCTACTTTGGACAAGACCACCTCCGGAAGGGATTCTTTCTGCCCAGAGGCTGCTGGGGCTTTCAATGGAGGCCCCTCCATTAGACACCCCGGGAATCGGTGGTTAGGGGTCTCAAACCATTGAAGCCCTTCCTTCGAGTTCCCCTACTTTTCCTTTGGGTTCCTTGCGCCCCTTTGACCACCCCCGAACGGGGGATGGCTTTTCTAAGCTGAGGTCAAGGACAATACCTTCCTGGACTGGTTCTCCCGGGGTGAGTCTCGGCACCCGGTCTTCGGCAGAGTCACCAAGAACTACGACCTCGCGGTGAAGATCTCCAAGGTCTACACGCAGCAGGACGAGAAAATTCGGGGAACTCCCTGTTGGTTTGGGTTTTAAAGGGGGAACCAAATTGTTGGCCCTAAACAAAGGCTCATCCAAGTGGGACAAGTCGGGTGGCGTGTTTTTTTTTGTTTTTTTTAACCCCCTTTTGGCTTTCTTTCCTTCCCCGCTGTCATGAACCGACGAGCAACTGGTCATGCAGAGTGAAGTGCTTCCCAAGCCCGGGTCTCCTCAATAGGTCTCAGTCCACATCCAGAAGGGGGGGGACCTCGAGTCATCGAGGATCCGGGAAGATCGGCGGTTTCTGGGGGGGTTTCAGGCCTTGGCTTCTGATTGAAAAATGTGAAATGTCCAGGTGGACAAAGCCTCCCAAACCGTGAGACTCCTTTGACTTTCTGAAAGCCTTCATGGGGAAGTAGCCTCCCAGCAACAGACCCCTGGCATGTCGCAGACCCAACAATTTTCCGCTTGGGATCACGCTCCACCCCGCGTGCATTGCTGCATGAAAAAAAACACCGCGACATCAACTCTGAAGCTACTTTTCGGGCTTGCCTGGGATCTGGGTAGGGTGCCAACAACCCAGGAGAAATCCCGGGTTAATAAACCCCAAGTTATTAAAGAAAGGCGTCCCTGGCGGGGAATCACTCCGGTGTAATGGGGGATGCAATCAGACCTGAGGGTGTATGATCCGCAGGACCGCCCAGTGGAGCCCGTGATGATGAAGAGCATCACCATCAGCGGCTTGTGAGATGTGCCAAAGCGCACTGCTTCGGCTGGAAGAGCTGCCGGCTTCTATCTGGGTGTGCTGCTTCATTGGACGCTCCAAACTGGTGGCTTTCCTTTGGTTTCCCTCAAAACCAACCAAAAAGGAAAGCTGTGACAGACCCAGTTGTTTGAGAATATGTTTTGTGTTCCCTTGAATTAAGGTTGGAATCAACCTCACTACTGGACATATTGTTTTCAGGTGGCGAAAAAGCACATGGAAGCTGGTATATATTTTGAGCTTGTATGGAAGCTGGGATATCTTTTGAGCTTATTTCGGATTTTGCTACTCACTATGGACAACAGCACATACCATCATAAGCATTATACATCCCCACACCTTTGAACATGGAATTGGGGGAATGGGGATTTCAACCCAAGCACCATGCTTTCTTTTTGGGACCTTCATTGGTTGAAGGATTTGCCAGCTCCTGTCCCACCCTTCAAATCCCAGAAAAAAAATGAACTCTTCGATCTCTTGGAACCGTTCTCAGGGCCTGAAATCGTCATTTCCCCGCGAGAGTTCGGCCGCTTCTCGCCCGTGGAAAAGGCGGCCGCTCTTGCTCGATGCATTTGTTCCGCCAGCCTTACACGCAGTACCTACTTGTTTTGACAGCATTTGGAGAAGCAACTCACTCCCTGAGTTCCCGGACTTTAGGGAGTAAACAAGATATTGAGTTGTCTTTCCACTACCGTCCCTGAGTTCCTTTTTGGGCTCTGGCAAACAAGAAGCGCAGTTTGCCCATCCACTCGAGAAGTGAGGCTTGCGGTGTTCCATGGCTTGCGATTCATTTGTGTGCGTTCTCGGCAGGGAAGGAGAAATGGAATGTCCCTTGCCATCCAACTGGTGGTTTGCTTTTGGGGGCCCAAAGCCTGGGTTCATTCCCTCACTCTTTACTGGGCCCCAGCAAGTCATACCCCATGGAGTTGGGTGGTTTCAGCTGAAAGTTGCGAATATGGTGCAAACCAGGTCAGATCCAGCCTTCACATGCCTCCTTTGCCAAGCAGCGAAAAGCAAACAACATGCTCTCAACATTTGTTGGATCAGCCCCAAAGAACCGCGCTCCCCTTTTTCTAACCTTCGTCGCTGGGCAACTGGGACATACCTGACTGATGGAATTACACAGGAGTTGTTTGCCCAGCTGAGGGTCCAGCACAGGCGTGTTCAAACTTGAAGGATGCAATATGAGCTGGGCAGATTCGAGCAAGCGTACCTATGAAGGTTGTTCATCGGTTTGGGAGTCAGTGTTAGTTGCCAGTCTTCAGGTATCCTTTGGATTCGGATTTGAACCTCTGGTTCTTGTAGAGGGGTTAGCTGAAATCCACCCCAAACCACACCACGAAACCACCGATTCGGCTCCAAATCAGCAAAGGAGCTGGAATCTAGGTGCATGTTTATGGGCTCATACTCTCATCATGTGGGTCTGAAGTTGAATTGGGGACCTTTGGTGGACATCATTTGTGGGGATTCATGCCCACCAACCACTTTGGAGGGCACATTGAGGTTGTACGCCCCTGGTTCTTGGTAAACCATGCCAGCTTGGTCCCTCTTTGGCCCTATATATATATATATATATATATATGTTCCAGGCCGTGGACCCCCCCCCCCCCCCCCCCCCCCCCCCTGTGGGGGTGGGGTGGGTGGGTGGTGGGGTGGTGGTGGGGTTGTGGGGTGGTGGTTGGGTGGTTGGGTGGTTGGGCCAACCCCCCTGTGGGGGGTGGGGTGGGTGGTGGGGTGGTGGGGTGGTGGGGTGGTTGGTGGTGGTGGGTGGTTGGGTGGTTGGGTGGTGGGTGGTTGGTGGGGTGGTTGGGGTTGGGTGTGGTTCGGAGTTGGTTTAGGCTTGGTGGGTTGGTTTAGGGTTGGTTCAGGGTTGGTTCAGGGTTGGTTTGCGGTGGGTTTCGGGTGGGTTTGGGTTTTGGGTTGATTTAGGCTTAGGGTTGGAGGGGTTGCAGGGTGGTTTGGTTTAGGGTAGGATGTTGCGAGAGGTGCGAAGCTGCAGGGCTCGCACGGTACTGGACAGCATCCCCAGCATTGCCAGCATCATCCCCAAGATGCGGATGATGCGGGGGAATGGGGGGACCATACCATTGGGGGGGGGGGGGGGGGTACGTGGCCCAGGGACTGGTACATATATGTGTGTGTATGTGTAGGTCAAGAAGCCTATAATCTAGATGCCTGGTGTACACATTTATAGGTATGCCGCATATAGCTGGGATGCATTGTGAGCACCCTGAGGGGTTCATGATGATGGGCAGGTCACTGTGAGGTGATCAATCATCATGTTGCGAGTCGATCATTTGTGAGTTTATTGGGTTGGCTGGGAAAAGCGAAAGCTCCTTTTTAGCAAAATCAGAATGCCTTGGTACCAAACATCGCTGAACTAGGTACCTCCTGGAATGCTATCCTTCAACCATTCATGGCATGTTATTTTTTGTTTGGTATTCAAGAGCCCGACATGCGGCCCCTGAGTTAGAACGATACAACGTGCGCATGAAAAAATAGTTTTTCCATGCTCTTGATTTTTCAGTAGGCGGATGCCAGGGATAGGTACCGTAAATGCACAGCTCAAGTATTGAGGGTCCGCATTGCCTTTGGCCCCTTTCATGCCCCTGATGTATACCTTTTGCATGCATACATAGTATATATATATATATATATGTCAATAAACACGTTTATGTGCATAGATTGCTGAACAGCTATTACTTGCGTTGCCGGTGTGAACAGGCAATGGTGGCTATCCGTATTTTTACACATAGATATGTACGTACAAACACGTATGTGCTGTAAATATGCACACGTGCTATA